TCAACATCCACCGTGATTACGGCAACAAGGATCGTCTCCCAAGTTCTCATACTTGTTTCAACCGTAAGTACACCAGCAATGTCCGGAACTGTCTATATGGCACAGCTTGCTAATTATGTGGCACAGAGCTGGATCTTCCAGAATATGAGAGCTACGAAACATTACGGCAACGTCTTTACACTGCGATGACGGCTGGCAGTGAATATTTCGGGTTTGCATAAAATGGTGGCGCTAATATCCCTTATTGCGTAAATGATGATTTGGGGGTTAACCCACTTTCACTCGCAGTGTCCTTGACTCAATGCTGAAGCATATTATGGCGTTTGACACATCTTCATTTTCAGCTAGTTTGTACCTTACCAAAGGCATGGGGGTTGTGGTAGGAAATGGACCGCAACCGGCAGACCAGTTGAAGTGCAGGTCAACTGGAATGCTGGGGATCGGTTCGAGGATTTCCATTTTTTCTATGTTTTACTTTGCAAATTGCAGCAGCATGTACTTTCTTCAGCTATGTGTCAATTACTTAGAAAATTCCAGTCAATGTTCTCGTTCTTTCACCCACTCTCAACTCCTTATCCAGCCATCGATGCGCGGTTAGTCAGCCGGGTGCTTCTCCGTAGTCTGGAGGCGGTGAGGGGCGGTGGATCCGGGGAGTCACGGGATGCAACTTTTTTCTGCTGGGCGAAAAAGTCACCTGCCGGCGGGGCATCGGCTCGAATCTCAACTTCTTCAATCTGCTGCTCTCTCTCCGGTCGATGGGCGTTTCCTATCTCCAGGCATGCTAATTCCTGCTCTCTAACTTCTCCTTCATTTTCTCTCAATTATCATATCAATCTCCCCTCTACACCTGTCCGGTTCCACGCGCCGCTCTCACCTGAACCCCTCCTCCGGTTTCTCTTCAACCATCCAAAATGGCTTCGAACTCGATCAAGCTCTTGACTGGTAACAGTCACCCTGAGCTTGCAAACCTCGTGGCAGCTCGGTATGCGCTATAGTTCTGGACTATTTCTGCACCCTTGCAGTACACCATGGACTAACGAGCCGTTTCAATTGACAGGCTTGGCATTGAATTGACCAAGATCATGGTCCTCCAATATTCGAACCAGGAAACCAGTGTCACAATCGGAGAGAGTGTACGAGATGAGGATGGTATTGTTGTCCACTCCGCCTGCTCAGACTCAGGCCCGCAAAAGATCTCGGGTTAATGTGTGCACCCTGCAGTTTTCATCTTGCAGTCGACGCGGCCCAATGATATCAACGATGGACTGATGGAGCTGCTCATCATGATCAATGCTTGCAAGACCGCCTCCGCAAGACGTATCACCGCCGTCATTCCCAACTTCCCTTATGCGCGCCAAGATAAGAAGGATAAGAGCCGTGCTCCTATCACCGCCAAGCTTATGGCAAACATGCTCCAGACTGCTGGTTGCAACCACGTCATCACCATGGATCTCCATGCCAGCCAGATCCAGGGCTTCTTCAACGTTCCCGTCGATAACCTGTATGCCGAGCCTAGCATTCTGAAGTGGATCCGCGAACACCTGGATGTGAGCAACTGTATCATTGTCAGTCCTGATGCTGGTGGTGCTAAGCGGTAAGTGAATTTGTTTCTGTTGGGTGCTTGACATCTTGCAAGTCGATACTAATGGGCAATTTTGAACAGTGCCACTGCCATCGCCGATCGCCTCGATCTCCAGTTCGCGCTCATCCACAAGGAGCGCCCCCGCCCCAACGAGGTCTCGCGCATGGTTCTCGTTGGTAGCGTCAAGGACAAGATCGCTATCATCGTTGACGACATGGCTGATACCTGCGGTACTCTCGTCAAGGCCGCCGATACTGTGATGCAGCACGGTGCTAAGGAAGTCAACGCTATCGTCGTCCACGGTATCCTTTCCGGCAAGGCTACCCAGAACATCAACAACAGCTGCCTGAGCCGTGTTGTTGTGACCAACACTGTTCCTCACGAAGACAAGAAGGAGCAGTGCGATAAGATCGAGACGATCGACATCAGCCCCACTCTTGCAGAGGCCTGCAGACGTACACACAACGGCGAGTCTGTGAGCTTCCTGTTCTCGCACGCTGTCGCCTAAACGACTAGTAAGGGCACATGGCAGTGAGGGAGGACAAGATGGACATGCCGCTACCTGGAGGCGGTTCACATCTGCTTTTTCTTTTTTTATTATTGTCGTGCGTAGTCGGATACCTCTAGGAGGGCCTAGATCATGAAATTAGGACTCTTTAGCCACGGAATTCCCGGGATAGGCGCCTCCGTCTGTCAAACTATATTCAACGCATTTACCGGTTATGAAGCTTATGGACCTTTGAGAAGGTGGAAAGGAAGGGAGATATGAAAAAGTCGGCGGCGCCTTTTTGCTTTCTATTACCAGCTGAATTGAAGCACTTATACTGTACATATATCAATGGTTTTCTTTTTTTTTCTCCCCTTGGTCGTCTTCATTTGGATGATGTACTATTCTTCTTTATTGTGAGCGGATCACATGTGAATTTTACTGATACAATAGATTGCCATCTGAATTTGAATCCGTCCTGAAGATGTTACGTATACATTTTAGATATGGATATAGTCAAATTGGAAATACTGGGATTTAAGGAACACTACACGGACTTATCAGCACAGAAATAACGAAGTAAACATTCGCAGTCGTCAAATTAACCTCGGAGATAGTATCAGCTAGTTGAGTAAAATGCACACGGGCTAGCCCTAAACCGATCTTACTGCAAGTCGTACATTCAGTTCCGAGGTTTATATTTCCGGCTCTAATTAGTACTACTTAGTAGTCGGACTTGTCAGCATGCTATCCATCCATCATCCATCCATCCCTTACTGATCAGCCGCACTATCATGCTTGCTTTTTGCACTCCGATTTTGACTCTATGCCATAAGTACCTATGGTGGTACTTTTTATGTTTCCTACAAATACTAGTATATTATCAGTAGTAGTAGCTCACAATGCAAAAGTACCCTGACGGAGAGTATGGGGCGGAGAGAGTTTCCCGGAGTAATCAATAATAAGGTGGGTGAGGCCGGGGTTTGGCTTCTTATCGTCCGTGATTGTTTTTCTTTTTCTGTTTTCTTGGTGGTTGTGGTTTTTTTGACGGAGGTTAATTGCTGTTAGTATTAGTGAAGCTTATTACTAGTGCTATATGAGAATACTATGGAGGTAGAGCAGAGTCCTTCTCATTGAGGAGTAATATGCTACTACTACTACTACTTAATATTGTTAAGATGATGTTATATTTGGTATCATTCACATTGAAGAAGCTTGACATGACTACTAGTTATAGTAAATAGTAGTTAATACTAGTAGCAGTGACCACCTAAGACCGATGGGAGAAAGAAGAATAAAAACAGCTTTATTTCCCTCACCGTTCCGCCTTGGGGCATTTGGATCCATCATACGCTTGTCGAATATATACTCAATCCTTAATCTTCGTATACTGAGTTTTAGTGTAAGTTTAATTGTGGGATTAAACAAAGTCAGTACCAGGTAGGTTCGTAGGTGACTAAGGAGTAACTCTTTATTGTTTCTCTATTGATGTGTATTTATTTAATTGTGAAACAATGCGTTTGGTGGCTGATTTGATTGTTTGATTTTGAAAAGTCAGTACGAGTGGTCAACGGTACTATGGGTGTATACTATGCAGGCAGTAAAAGTATCTTGAAAGTATTACCGTCTTGCTGTATTAAATAGATTTAGTAGGTAGTTAATTGTTATGAGGTGGGGGTAGTAATACTATTTTATTTCATGTTGTGTTATCTTGTCATACTACAGTGGTAGTATATACCTGATACTAATAGGTGGCTAGGTAAGTAATGCCGGTCTTCATGTTCTCAACTTTGTAGTACCAATAACACTAGCATACCTTCCTACTACTATATATTAAATACCTCCCTAAAGATAGTACTAGATGGGTGTTACTACTACGAGCGGGGGCTCTGACTTCACCTGCCTAGTAATGGCTCTAATATCTATATTAGTACTTAGCCCTGGGTGCCCGTACCTGAAGTATACATTTTGCATAGTTGGGTGGCGGAGGTTTGATTCACCGGTCTATGTAGATTTATACGTTCATGATGACAATTGATCAACAATAATGAACGCATTATATAGATCAATACATAAAGTGGGATTGTGTGGATTTGACCAGAACTATGCTGGATGTGCAGTTAGAAAAACAGTGTCTGTGTCTGTGTCTATGTCTGTGTCTACTCCGCACTTGACTAACGATCGCTAGTGGGATCTTGAATAAGAATAATTGTGGGTACACAAAAAAAGTACTGACCACACAATAATCAATCCATCCACTGGCTGGGCTACATTGGGACCAATTTTAGGTTTTACCACAGTAGGGTCCTATGGAAAATGGTCCTAAAGAGGGATTGCACACTACAACCAGGGGATAGATAGAACCAAAAAAGAAAAGAAAAAACACCAACTGAAATTTGGAATACAAGTAAAGTTTCATTTCATTCACAAGCAGCGCACATAAGAGAAGAAATCATCTGCAGAGAACCGGAGTCCATGGGTATTTTTTTTTTTTAAATCGTGCCAGGGAAGGGGAAGGGATAATGGTCGCAAGGCCATCTAGAATAAAAAGTGTGTAAAGAAAAAAACGAAGAAATTCTTTCACATTTTTTAATCCCTTTCATTTCCATAAAAATTGTGGAGAGATATAGCATTTCCTTTTTTGGTTTTGATGTGTTGGTTGGATCAGACAATATCGGCACGCCAAAGTCTCTCGGTCCGCTGCAGACGACTTCTCTCCTCTCTCTCTCAATATCTCTCCCTCCCCAAACCAAGGAGCTTTTTGTTCTTGGGTCGCTCTGCTTCGGAACTCGAAGATAGGAAAAGAGAAAATGGGTGGATATAAAAAAAAATCCCCCTTCCCATTTGCTTGAGATTCTTTCTATAATACCCTTTTTCCCTTAGCTAGAACAGAGACGTAACCCGACCATTAACCCCCGCGGACAAACACATTTACTTCCTCATCGAAGACGCTCTCCGCTTGCGGAGCTCATCGCGCTTGGCCTTCTCCTCGTGGACACGGCTGGCAAGGAGCTTGGCGTAGTCGTTACTGTATTGCAAGCATCGTTAGCAGATGTTCATTTCATGGAACTGGAATGCATATCCCCCGGAGAGGGGCAAAGGTGCACTTACGCAGCCTCACGGGCAGCCTCAGCACGACGGCGCTTGAGGGCAATGCGCTGGCGCTTGCGCTGGAGACGCTGGGGAGTAACCAGACGCTGGATCTTGGGGGCCTTGGTGTAGTCGGGCTTGCCCTCACGGGTGACGGTACGACGGATGACGAACTTGCGGACGTCGTCCTTCTTGTCGAGACCGAAGAAGCGGCGGATCTTGGTGGCACGCTTGGGGCCGAGGCGCTTGGGGACAACGGTGTCGGTGAGACCGGGGAGCTCGCCCTCACCCTGCTTGACGATGCTCAGGGCAAGAACAGCGAGGTCCTGACCGGTGATGGCTGTAGAAACGAAGCGTCAACGGATCAACTCGGAGGGTAATAACGGATGTACTGTTGTTGGGTAAAACCTACCACCACGGACGGACTTGCGCTTGCGCTCACCAGTGCGGCGGGGGCGGTAGCAGCTGCAGCGGACATCAGTCTTCCATTTCGTAAACTCCATTATCGGCAGGTCGCATTTACCTGTGGCCATCGGCAAGGAGGAGGCGGGTACGGGTGGGGAGGAGAACTGCACACAAAATCGATGAGTTTCTGCTGTGTTTTTGTCGGATTATATTTGCGTCGGTCGGTACATACCACCCTGCTTCATGGGGAAACCTGTGAAGAGCGTCAAAGTCAGCATCCAATGTTCATTCTTAACCATGATATCCAAAGATTCCTGTTCGTATTCGAGTCCTCCTAGTCGAGCCCAAATCCGAAATAACAGGGGAAAAGCAATCCAGTCGTACCTTGCTTGTCGTTACCACCGGTGATCTTGAGGATGTAACCCTTGAACTCGTCACCGAGAGAGTCGCCGGCAACCTATAGCAATAAAAGAAACCCCAATCAGTCTTCTGCTTTTCCCATAATTTTGCGTGTATTTCTCATTTTTCGTCTCTTTTCCAACTGTGGTGTTTTCGGGGGGCGGATATCCAAGGGGGGAGGGTTGCTGACTTCGGTTCCCATGCGCTTCTCCATGAAGGGACGGAGCTTGCGCTCATCGTCAACCTCGATGATCTTCTGAGACCCATTGGCCGGGTAGGAGATGTTGAGCTTCATCTTGACGGGTCTGCGCGGTCAAGACGGAGGGCGCGGTTTGTCGACAGGTCGAGGAGGTTCAGGTCGTCGGGGATTCGTTCTTCGTGGGATTTTTTTGGTGGTGTAGCGAGATTTCCCTGTGTGGGCGGCTGACTAAGTCCACTAACCCTTCTGGACTTAGCGCCCTCGGTAGGGCTCTTATGTCAGCACTCCCGGCACCTGACTTGCCCCTTTGCCTTTTCGGGAACTACGAGGCTAGGCCTGTGTATGCTTGAGGATAGCATCAAGTTGTTGTGATAAAAACAATGTCTAAGGTTTTGGTTACGCGCTGATGCTCGTATTCCATGATGCACCTACTTGATCCAAACGACAGGTGAAGGTTCTGTTCTTAAAGCGGAAGCGTGTATTAGGTCACCTGACCTTCGTGTGATCCCTGCGACCCCGTGTATACAGTAGGCAAAATTGGGGTCAATATCTCCAACAGATCGGAGTCTTCCATATCCATGTCTGATAACCATACCTGTCTCTGGTCGCGACCTTATGCATCCAACAGTCAGCAGCTAGAACAGTCTATTGACTATACCCAGTAATCAAACCCCTAAACTAGCTTTGAGTAGAGTGCCTCCTAAGCTTCAACAAGGCGAATTCGGGGAGCCACCGTGTTGCGTCTTAGGTGCCACATTTCTCGTCATATAGGTCTTTCTCCGAGCTGACCTTTATTTTTTGCGTACTCCGGACTTGCCCTGCAGCCTATAATGCAACACATGTAGACTGATGTGTGCGCTTCGAGCTAGGCACTGAGAGGGTGCACATGCCATCATTATGCAGGACATTTCTGAGGATAAGAACTCTTCATCATAATGAGCTCGTTGTCCCAAGTGAGTAGTTGATGCCATCCAGGGGTTAGTTATAGTCAACCCCTGAGCGTCTCGGCGATAGGAATTAGGAGATCTAGTCAGTCAATCAGGTGCCAAACTGGTCCGGGTCGAAATCAAAACGACCAGCAAAGCTTGGAGGGAGCTTCTTCGAAGTGCATCTTTATAAGTCGCAATCAGAACTTCGAGAAGCCCCAGATATATAGGAAGAAAGGTATAGTTATGAAGGGCGCTTCGCTGACTCGGATTTAGTTGCACATTGCGTTCTTCCGTTCCCGACAGCCAAAGACGGGAGACCAATCCGGATCGAGTTGGGCCGTTCGGAAGGTCGGAGTCTAAAGTGGCAGCCTGTCTTGGAGAGGCGGCCCCCCCGTTATCTATTAACTAATGGTTGATTATTGATTGATTACTACCCACCACCAACACTGCGCCTTCGGTAGTAGATACTAGATAGATAGATAGTGGCCGAGGAGGGGTGTTGTTCATGACATCCCAGTAAGGGGGTTCAGGGAACATGACCGCCTTTTCCGACAGACGTTCGTTGCTGATTCGATGACATTTCTATTGCTGGAACAGAGAAATGTCCACGAGGGCAGGCCAGTGAGATCCACTGATGGGGACTTGGCCTTGTACAAAACCGCCTCTTCCAAGCTCAATGGAGTCTTGGGACTGACGCAAAAGACCCAGAGCACGCGACTGGTTACCGTTCCGACGTCGCCGCGCGGCCACTGCCAACGTCCGAGAGGCCAGGACAAGAACAGCCTTACGGCAGATGCAAAGATGGCCACAAGCGCGCTATCGTAGTGGACAGGTCAGGGAACATTTTCTGTTTCCTCACTCAACTCTCGCACTGTTCGGTATTGTCTCCTTTTTCTTGTTACTGCATCCGTTCCCCTCAGGTTCTCGTTTTCATCCGACTGACAGAGTTCTCCAGTCAAGTCCCCACTCTGGCGCCAACCATCCCCATCGCACGCTATTAGTCTCTCCTCTTTGCACGGTACTGCCGGAGGTCATCCTGTCTTTTGTGCTTCTGTTAGGGGAAGAAGTTCTTGCTTGATCTCGCCGCAGATCACTACGTACGGCGTCTCCGTCTTATCTCATTCCCCCCCCCCTTTCCGTTGTTCAGTTTCTTCTCGTTTTCCTTTGGTCAAACGTATACTCTCAGCATCGTTGTGTGCAACCGCGCAACAAAGAGTGCCGCCGATCGCCCCCAGCTTTATCGGCTTCGCCTGCGAAGCCCAGCGGCTTTCGCTGTCTCGCCTCCGCCCCTCGTATCCGTCCTTTATGCCCGGACCCAATGCGCCTCTTTAGCAAATTTCACGCGGTCTGCGCCTTGGCTGTGTGCAGCATTCTCCTGTCAGCCTCCTTTCTCGCCTCTCAGCATTACTATCGTCGGGTAGTCTTGACAAAAGAGCCTTCGTCGGATTTCCGCGCCACGGCATCTTTCGACCGTCGCCTAGTCGTCTTTGGTGACTCGTGGAGCGATAACAATGCAGCCGAGCTTCAGGGATCTGTATGGACGGACTGGCTTTGTAACTCGGTGAGTGTGAAAGCTACTTGGCTGGATCAAAGTGGCAAGCTAATCTCTCGGCCCAGTTCTCATGTCACCATGAAAACTTAGCAGAGACAGCCAAGTCTCTGAGAGGAAACTACATTGGCTCTGTGGTGGATAACACGGAGCTGTCGGGTTCCTTACTCAACCTCTACAAGTCTCCATTGGCGGATCTGAAAGCTCAGGTCGCCAATTGGATTGCGGCGGAGACGGAAGCCACGAGAGAGATGGATGCGACTGCGGTTGGCATGCGTCAGAATCGCACCATCGTGGTTGTCTCCTTTGGTGTATGGGACTTGTGGAACGTAATGGCAAAGACGTACGAGGACGCATCCCATGCAGTCGATCGCAATATCAAAGTCATTATGGAGGAGCTGGATTTGCTGGCCGAGACATGGGGCAGCAATGACCTCAAGATCATCCTGACATTAGCACCAGATGTAACCTTCCTGCCGGCCTATAGAGCGCAGGGGCAGCCGCAGATTACCAAGCACAAAGATGCCGTGAGGATCGCAGACTATTGGAACGGAGAACTCCGCAATAACGCCGAAGATTGGTCGAATGGCACGATTTATTTGTTCGACACCAACTCTTTTCTAGCCGACCAGATTCGCGACTGGCAACTCTTTGCCGCAGGGATCGAGGAAGAGAGTGGATTGGGGAAGAACGAGGATCCCGGTTGGGAGAATGTTGAAGCCGCATGCGTCCAAAGCAGCCAGCAATGGATGGTGACGTCAGGCGCGCAACAGTGCGACCGTCCGGAGAAATTTCTGTTCTGGTAAGGACAAGGCATTATGATTGGCGCCCATTGACTTGATCGAGTGCTGACCGTATCATTTTCAGGAACGACATGCACCTTGGCCCCTCAGCGCATAGACTTCTGGGCGCGGAAGTGTTCCATGGAATCGAAGAGATGTGGCTCCGATGATTTTCCACTAAACATCAAAATAAGAGAGCAGAGAAAAGAAAAAAATTCTAAAAGCGCAACCGATGAGGTCTTACTATTATTTTCCATTACCTCTTGAGACGTAATTCGCCAAGGACAGGCTGGGGGGAAACTTGTTCTGTAGATGATTAGACATCAGCCGCTTCCCGGGACCATCAAACGCTGACGAACGGCACTATCAAATGGCGGCCTGCTTCTCTTATCTCCATTGCGCCTGCTATTCGATTATTCGACTGGTCTCTAGGCGATGTGTCAATAGGTCTGAGACCATGTCTTTCTCCCCGCTCAGAGACTGGATGAGTGAGAGGAAAGAGTTTGTACTGGGGGAGCACAGCTGTTTCGAATCACGAGAGGTTTCAGGTCGCTACCAAACAAGGACCGAACGGGGGACTGGCCAGAGTGGTATGTCTCATTGAGAATGAGCACGGAAGTCAGGCTGGCTCATCCGGAGACGGACGATTGTAACGTGATGGCGGTGGATAGTGGAGCAGGGATCGGAATGCGATCGCCACAGGGTAGATCGATCCGGTCTCCAGCCTGGAAATGGGGACACCTGCAACATCAACGTGTCAATGGAGACCCGTGAACCTTTCTGATGGATCGGGGGAACTACGGATCAAACTTTGGGGAGGTAAAGAATAATGGAACCTGACCAGACCCTGTGGAAAGTCCCCCTTTGAAGGGTGGTTGGGGAAAGCAGCAGGGGTAACGGATGGTGCGGATGGTGCTGGTGGATGGAGATTTGGTGGTGTCGGTGGTAAGTAAGAGCACGGAGTAGTGAGAAGTAGTATCCATCCAGTGTCAGTTTGCCAAATCGGGCTGTCCGTTCTTTTCCCTGTTTTGCTTTCGGTTCTTTTTTATTTTTTATTTGCTTCTTCTCTTTCTCTCCTTTTTGACTCCTCTTTCCTTTCATTCGGTGCTGGCTGTTAGTTTCTTTGTCTCCGAAGAGGATCGGCCTGCTGTCATGGAAGCCTCGGGAAGTTCTGTCATTAGCCAGGAGCTTTCCTGGATAAAAAGTACCTTTGCTTTAGATGGAGGAGGGAAGAGGTGGAGGTGGAGATGGCGGAATTCTGATACCGCCACCTGGAATGTATGTATTACACCATAGTAGCCATGGCCACGATCGCTGTATTCCTTTTTAGTTGATGGTCCAAGCAAGTAGGGAGGAATGGGGAACGACGGAGTTCAGTACCCAGTGTAGATTAGTGGGTATCAAACTTCCAGGAACTACTACCTTAGAGAGCCAAGCAAGCAAATCAAGCACGTTCAGTTAGTTCAAATAGGTAGGTAGGTAGGTAGGTAGGTAGGTAGTAAGTAGTAACCAAACGATACTTGCGAGGGAGCAAGCAAATAGCAAGCAGCCAGCAGCAAACAACAAGTACCTTCAAAGTACCACCTAGGCAGCCGAGTAGGGTACTACTACTGTAGAAGGCTAGTGGTGTGCGTGCCAGACCGTGGTAAAGCAAAGCAAGCAGGATGATGCTGGCGAGAAATTAGACGGATTGGAAGACAATCAAATCCATTTGCGCATGTGTCACATTGGCGGTGGGCCAATTGCCAGGCCCGGTCGGGCTCTGTGGATCGCTAATTGGTCCCAGATCACTGCAGCACACCGCATGCGGACGCCGAACAGACAAAGGAAAGCTAAAATGGCTCCAGGATTGAAACAATAAACCTGTATAGCAATCTCTAAGCAACTAGTCGATTAGTGTGGTAGCCTTTCTTGACTAGGGAGAGTATTGAGAGGGGGGAAAGGGCAGAAAGTAAAAAGGTAAAACAACTAACTAGGTACTTAGGTCCCCAGGTTTAACTACAGTAGTACCTTTCCGGGTAGCTGTGACTTAACTAAAATGTGTATTTTTATTATCGAACTGCCCAAACATATTAAATGATGCCCCAAAACAAAAAGGCAATCAATCATCCAGAATGAGCTCTGGAAGGGCCCATTTCTTGTCCCTACTGCTGACTCACCTGGTAAAAAAAAAAAAGAGAAGAAGAGGTTCACATTCAGGTTGTTGCTTTTCTGCTGCTACCTCCCCAAGTGCCCACTTTGTCTCTCTCGCCCTCTGGCTCTCTCTTGCTCTTCCAGTCCTTGGGTACCTTTGGTTGGGGGCTTCATCCAGGGACAAGTAAGTACTAAGTAGTAGAGTCAAGTCAAGGTACCTCTCTTCCTCCGCCCCAGTACAACACCGCACCACCCGATGAAAGGTACCATGATGATACGTCCTTCCCAACCCGGGAGGTTTCCTCACCTTGAGGTTCCATCACAACTCTCCGAACAGCTGTCTCTGGTGGGGATAATGTCCCCTCCCAACCGCACGAAGGACTCGGGTCATCCTGACAGGGACAAAGAAACTAAAAAGCCCGGGAATTTTTAGTCGTAGTCAAAGGGAGGGGCGCCAGACCGAAGGGCCCCAAAGATAGCTCCCCATAACAAAGCACTTGAAAAGCCAAATCCTGGCTTTATCTCACTGGCGTCCCCTCGGCTTGGTTGGCTCGGCCTGAATGGAAATATCATTTCATTGTCAAAGAACGAGGAGGCAGCAAAAGGAAGGCAGAAAAAGAAAAGAAAATTACCAGCAGTGAGGACACCCCTGACGCCTCCAAATAATAATTCAGCTGAATATTATTATCAGCATTCTTATTATTATTATTATTATTATCATCTGTTCTTCCTAATTATTATCATCCGACCGTGAACTGAAAAAAATAAAATATTCCACGCCAAAAGACACCAACAGAGACGGCCACTCGATTGGAAAAAGAAAGAAAAGAAAAGAAGTATTAACAACAGCCAGTTTGGAAATACCCGGTGCAGCACGAGGAGAAACTCATTCGTCTCGTTGACTATAACTATAACCTTATATTGGGGCTTTCTTTCTTTCATCCACTTGTGCAGCATCCGCCCATTCAAGGGCCACGGCTCTCTCTATAACCTCGATTTCTCACCCACCATCTCGCAGACTTTCATTATTCATTGCCCGCCATTTCCTTTCAGTCTGCTGGTTCATCCACTTCTCTGTCCCCCCAAAAAGCCCTTTGCTCTTTACTCCATAAAATAAATGTCATGTCTTACGATCGCGTTCTACCCAAGCCTCCTCTTCTACACCATGACAGCTCCCACCATCTTCCCCTGTCACGGCCTACTAGTAACCTTCTCGAGCATAAGATCATGAATGACGACGTCGCGAAAGTGTCCATGATGGACCGTCATCTAGACACTGCTGCTTTGAGTGGTCATCGTCGATTCACTGACACACTGCCTCCGGTGCATTTGACCACTCTGAATCGAAGCAAGGTGGCTCTCAACAAAGTCGCCTCCAACGCTGCCTCTGCTATTGAGGTCCCGAAGTCCGCGAATCTTCTACCTACCAAGGCTATACCTCTTCGTGAACGCTCATCTTTGTCGGAACGGTCGTCGTCATCTAGTCCAATCAAGACGTCCAATACTCCCACCCCAAGGGAGTCGGCAACACAGTTCTGCCTCTGTCAGCCGGATCCGAAGATCCCTAGGCCCCGGAATGGTATGCAGCCTGAATTCTGCTCGATTTGCTTCTTAAGCTGACAAACAGGTAAAGCGTTCATCCTATACCGCCAACATTACCAGGCTGCAGTGGTCGCGCAGAATCCAGGCCTTGCCAATCCTGAAATCTCCAAAATTATTGGGGAGCAATGGAGAGGACTACCACAGGAGACAAAGGATGAGTGGAAAGCGCTGGCAGAGGTAAGCACATTGTATGCTATGAGACTCTCAAGTCACCTAACCCTTGATAGGAGGAGAAAGCTCGGCATCAACAACAATACCCAGAGTATCGCTATCAACCTCGTCGCTACGGTCGGGATGGGAATCTCCGGAGTGGAGCATCTGGCATCAGCCATAACCCTCCTGGCTCTACAGTCTGCAGCCGATGTGGAGGCCGTGTGATGAACCCTCCAGTATCACCAGAGACTCCTTATACACCCAGGGCTTCCTTCTTCGGTGGAAAAGCAGCACCCGGTGAAGTATTTTCTGCACGCAGTAGCCATTGTCGAGCCAAAGACCTGGACCGTGCTCCTAATGTTATCAAGCTCATCCCTAATGGGAATGGGGAATCACGCATGCCTCGCCAGCACTTTGTGGAAAGCAGAAGCCGATCACCAGATAGTAAGCGCAGGCGGTTGGGACCGCTTGGTCCTTACGACATCCGTGAAAGGAGCCCAGATTCTTCATATCCTGCATCTCCATACACACCTCGCTCGGCCGTAGCAGACTCACGAGGTCTATACCAGCCGCTACAGCAGCCACGGCCCGGCCGAAATGTCAAGGAGTATACCCCGCCGGATCCCAGCTTGAAACTTCCACCGCTACAAACAGCAGCTCATGTTCCCGGGACTCTCACCCCAACGACTCCATATTCGCATGATGGGCCTAGCATTGAAGCGACGGTCATGACAATCCCATTTCTCAACAAGATAAAGGTTCTGGCTAAGATCTCACCGCCCTTAACACCAGCATACCATGACGGATCTTCGTTCCGACGCGGGGCTGTGATTGCTGTGGATGGACAAGATCCTGTTCTTGTCAAGATGATGGTCGAATTTTTGAACAACACATTACAGAAGGAGGGCAGATATCTCACCCGAGTGTTCGGAGGACCCGAGATTCGGTCTCGTGAGAGCTATTCCGAATCCGAGCAAATGGGTGACGCAACTGTCGATTATCTCAACATCATCTCCTCCTGGCACCGCATCTCTGACGAAATAGTTAGCTTCGTGAAGCCTTCACGAGCATCATCGGAGCCAAAGTCAGTCGACGAAGAGTCTACACCAGGAGTGTCGCCGCGGACTATTATACCCAAGACTGCTGAATTACAGATCAACTCTCCGGAGCAATCCAGCGACAACAGCTCTGTGTCGACAGTCTCTACCGGAATGGGCTCCATTACGATGCCCGTGCCTGTCGCACTTGTTCCACGATACCAACTAACGACTGCGGATGCTTTTGCCTGCTCCGTCCCAATCGGGGACTCGTATGCACCACTTGACCACTGGCAGTGGATGGCATCTCTGTGGCGTGCGTGCGTAGGACCGGACATAACCGTGTACATCCGAGAATGCGAGAAGGACGAACTAGAGCGTCTTGGAGGTAACCCCGTGGAAGTTCGTCTTCATGATGCGCGAACCATTGTGGTGCGAAGACTGGCATCCTCATCGAGTGAACTAGAGGAGAAGTCGCTTAAGAGAGTCGGCTTCGAAATTGAGGACTTCCTCACCCAATGAGCTTGTAATATGATCCTACCCAAAATATGCCAGCTTTGTCAGGCTCGCATGTTCTTTTTTTTCTTGTCTTTTCTTGACATTCTTCTCCGGACATATGGGGGTTTACACTTTCATAAATTGCCTTCCTTTTTTTTATTACTCTTCGATTTCATTTTTTTCTAGGCTCTAGCCTATTCTGCGGGGGTTCTGTCTGGTTCGGGGTTTTGTGGCTAGTGAAAATGGGTGGCTTTTCCTGTAGATTTACTTATCAGCTCCGGATAATATATGTCTGTGATCGACGATGATGTTTTTACTACCGACGTTATGCACAAAAGCGCAGACATCATTGCTTCTATCTCAACACTTGACAAGACTTACTTTATCAGAATACACATACAACGTAGTGAGAGAAACGACTCACCGACGCAGCAGACCATCAATAACACTACGCAATGCTCCAAGACAATCCACATCGCTGCCTAAGGCCCCAAGAAAGCTCCTAATATAACCTAAACCGGTAAAGGGCAGGGCGGTGACCAGTCCAGACCAATCACAGGCGCACCATGGCGGTGATTGCCGGCTTATCGGGATACCCTGGAATGCGCGGTGCGATGAATGAGCCCACTGTAGCGCATTTCCTTCACTGGACATGTCTTGTGAAGGGTGAGCAGGTCGGTTTCATGCGCTGCGCTAGCTCATTCCAATGTTTGAATCTGAACTCCGTGGTAATCTTCACCACGACCGAGTCTGATCGAATGCATGGGCTGCCCGCTAAAGGTTATCGCCTCTTCATGCAGCCTCCGTGACCTCAAAGGGGCACAACGACAGATCTTATACGGACGATATGTTGGCGACTGATGACGACATGATACATAATTATACTGCGGTTTCCGGAAATAATGCTCCTGGAGTTAAGCCGGTATGTTGCATGGACTTGTGTGAGAATAGCATTTGATTTACATTGCGCTGGATGTCTGCTTCGCGAAACTGCCCGTTTCTGTTAACAGGCTTATTGCTCATTTATTGCTTCAATCTCTGCAGAGACAAATTACTGGAATAAGCTGTGCCATGGCTGCGAAAGATGATGATGCTCTCAACTCGACTGGGCCCGATTCTTCCGCGGAAACTACCGTAACTACGGTTTCTACACCCACGCCCACAACGCCTCAATCGGAACACTTTATGTTGTCGAAGCCTGTTGCAGCGAATACTAAGTCTGGGGAAAGCGAGATTTTCCCAAATCTGGAAAACTATATTGGCGTTGGTGTTTTGAGAAGGCGCAATGGAAGTTACGATAACGGATCCACAGCCCCCGTCGAACCGGATAACTTTCCGGCATCTGAAATCGCGGCTTTGGAAAGACACCACTGGATATGGACTGAGACGATAGAATTCGCGGAGAAATCGTCGTGGTGTGGTGTTCGCGTTTATGTGCTGCCTGACGACGTCGGGCGCAAGTCCATACCGCGGTCGAGCACGGCATTGAGGCGCGCACTCAAGGCAGTCATGATGAGGATTGACAGATCAGACGAAGCATGGAACGGAGGTGTACATGTAGATCTGAAGGCTGCCGATAACCCTGTGGGTAGTCTGGAGGACGAGTCTCTTTGGTATATTTTCAATACCCTACAGGATCCAAAACCCCAGTTGGATAGTATGAGGAATGCGTATGCGAGAAGAGCGATGCGAGAGCTACTTACAGTAACAGCGCATGGAGAGGAGGACTCAGGTCAGGATTACTCTGGGGTGCTGGGTCTCAAGACGCCTCTGTACCCTTACCAGCGCCGATCGGCTGCTACTATGGTCCAGCGGGAAGCGCAGCCTGCGCAGGTGCTGGATCCGCGGCTACAGGCTATTAAGAGCCCTAGAGGCGAGGAATACTACTACGATAAGGAAGAGGGGAGCATATTTCGGGAGAAGAAGATGTATTCGGAGGCTTGTGGAGGTATGCTGTCTGTGATTTTGCGTGAACGGCTGTCTGACTGGGTATAGGTATCCTTGCGGAAACCATGGGCTGCGGCAAGACACTCATTTGCTTGGCTGTAATTTTGGCAACGCGAGGCCATTTCCCCGAAATACCGCTCGAATACCAGGAGATGAAGAACCCCATCCGACAAGTGACGGGGAGTCTTGTTGAGATGGCAGCCGCGACAGCAGGCCGCTTCTCGCTGCCGTGGAAAACCCACTTCGACACTCTGGGCTACTACGGCACGTTCTATGAGCGATGTGTTATGGAGTGTGAGAGGCACCGTGGCGCCTATACTATACCTCCACCACCGGCAAGGCACAAAGGTCGAAGTGGAGTGGCGTATCCTAGACCGCCGCCTCAGCAAATCCGTCTTTGTTCGGGGACGTTGATCATTGTGCCCCCTAATCTGGTCAACCACTGGCACAATGAAATTTCGGCACACACCGATGGCTTGAAGGTGCTTGTACTACGGAACAGCTCTGACAAGACTCCTTCACCAGATAAGCTATTGCAGTACGACATCGTTCTATTTTCGCGAATCCGCTTCGAAAAGGAGGCGGGCGAGGTGGTCAATAACAGACGTATCTCGTTTACGCCCGAGGAGTCCCCTTTGACAAAACTTCACTGGCTTCGGATCATCGTCGATGAAGGCCACAATGTGGCTGGTAGTGGTAATCGGACCACCATGATGCATATCCTGAGTCAGCTTCACATTGAGCGTCGGTGGATAGTGTCTGGAACCCCATCCAGCGGGCTGTATGGGGTAGAAGTCAGTTTGGCTTCTCAGGAGACACATACTAGCGAAACTGACCTAACTGAGGCTACTAAGACTGTACTTCGAGGTAGAAAGAAGACAGGAAACGCCTTGGACAGTGAGCTCAAAGATCTCGACAAGCTACGATACATCGTGATTGACTTTCTCGACCTGAAGCCGTGGTCTAACCCTCGAACAAGCGACCCGGCTAACTGGACAAAGTACATTAAGCCTATCGGCGAAGATGGCAGGCGACGGAAAGCACAGTCTCTCCGGGCTACCCTACAGAGCCTTGTTGTGCGACACCGTCTGGAGGTCATTCACAGTGGGATTCCTCTACCGAGACTGCATAACAAGGTCGTCCATCTGGAACCTACGTTCTATGATAAATTGAACTTGAACATGTTCATCTTCGGCCTGGCCGTCAATGCCGTCACTTCGGAGCGCACCGACCAAGATTACATGTTTCATGCTCGGAACCGTAAGCACCTTAGCACTGTTATCAACAACCTTCGTCAAGCAGGGTTTTGGTGGGCTGGCTCGGACGATATTGCTCCCACGATCGACGTCGCCCTGAAGTATCTGGAATTACGCGGGGACAAGACAAGCAAAGAGGACATAGAGACATTACGCGAAGGCGTTCGAATTGCACAAAAGGCTCAAGCATCTGGATGCTGGCGTGCTTTCAAGAGGATGCATGAACTCGGTGTTTTCATCCAGGACTTTCCCGAGCACGCTCGAAGTATGTGGGCCATTGACTCTTCGGTTGCGCACCAAGAGCCACTTCTTCTAGGCATCACACAGGCGCGACATGCACAGAAATTCGTCACAAAGCACCTGAACACGCATGACCCAGCAGAAGGGCTTGCCGGTGCAGGAATCAAGGTCCGTCGTGAGCTCTCAGGGCGAGAAGGGGATAATCTGAGTCCGAAGAAGACCACTCCAGACAAACCTGTCAAGAGCAACTCACCCAAAAAGACATACACCAAGGGACTATTCAAGACCCTACCAGAGGAATCCACTCTCACACAAACCAAATTGGTCGCCACAGCCTCAGCTAAGCTAACATACCTCCTGGACCAAGTGTCCGAGCTGCACAAAACCGAGAAAATCATCATCTTCTACGACAACAACAACGCCGCCTTCTGGATAGCCGAAGGCCTCGAACTCCTCGGTATAGACTTCCGCATCTACGCCAGCACCCTGAAACCCACCATGAGAGCAGAATACCTCGCCCTATTCCGCGAGTCGGAGGAGGTGCGCGTCCTCCTAATGGACCTGCGCCAGGCATCGCACGGCCTGCACATCGCCAACGCCTCCCGAGTCTTCATAGTCAATCCCATCTGGCAACCGAACGTCGAAAGCCAAGCCATCAAACGAGCCCATCGAATCGGCCAAACCCGCCCCGTGTTCGTCGAGACCCTCGTCCTCAAAGACACTCTCGAAGACAAGATGTTGAAGCGCAGAAAAGCAATGACAGACAGCGAGATCCACCACGCCGAACGAGACCTCCTAGACGACAGCACCATGAGCTCCATCATCCAGAACGAGCGTTACATCCCGATGCCCGAAACCGAAGACTCTAGCTTCACCCGAGGCGCGTTCCTGAAACATCCAACTGGCCTATTCGACCGACACAAGCTTGCCGTTGCCGATGACGAGGAGGAAGGAACAACAAGCAAGCCGGGACTACCGGATCACAGCAGCACCCCGCGGAAGCGGAAACATGTTAGAACCGTGGATATAGACGAGAGCACCGACGAGCCGGACCTCGTCACGCCGAAAAGACGCAAGTCCACGTCCCCTAGTCTGGACTTTCTCTCGCCGCAGGGCATCCTCATGACGCCTCCGCCAGCCTGGAGCCGGTCTCCGCGGGCTTCGCCATTTCCGGTGGTCGAAACGGATAGTGCTCACGCGAGCACGGACGGCGCAGAAACAGGGAAGAAGAAGAGGGTATCTTTGTTTGGAGGAGCAGCATGTCCTGATTGACATCATATCAAACATGACTGCTGTACTAAGATGACTGTAAATGATATCAATTATACCCTGATTCTCACATACACACATATAGCGAATAGCGTAGCTACCGCATATTTCAATTCCTTATCCATTCATCCTTCATGGATCTAAGAAACCTGACTGCGATAAGGGAAAAAAAACAACCACACCCCTCCGATCAGATAAGACTGCCCCACCCACCGCAGCCCCACCATGCCTATATCACATCACGTCTTCTCAGTTCTCACCTTCATCATATCTTTCCCAATCCCCCCCACCAACACCCCAACCCAAGATGCCGCCGCCGCCTCCTCAAAAACAACAAAAAACAACCATAATCGCCATCTCCGGCCCCTCCAGCAGCGGCAAAACGACCCTCGCCCGACTCCTCCAACGCATCTTCTCCAAACTAACCCCGCAATCAAACACAAGTTCAAATCTCCGAACATTCATTGTCCACGAAGACGACTTCTACCATCCAGATGACAAGTACGATTTGCCCTCTATCCTTTACCCCCTACATTCCAATCTATGACTAATATGAATAAAAATCAATAGAATCCCCCTAATCCCCCACCCGCGCAACCCCACCACCTCGATCCAAAACTGGGATACGCTTTCCGCACTCGACATCCCGTTCCTCAGCGCCGCATTATCCTACATCCATTCGCACGGACACTTGCCTCCGCGCCTACGGTCAAAGGAGGATTTGAATGATGTGGCGGAGTCCGGGGTATCAGAGGAGGTTGTGTCTCGGATGAGGGAGGTGGTTAGGGAGCGGGTTCCTGGGTACTTTCTTGAGAGTAATATCAAATCTACTTCTGGGGGTGGGGATGGGGATGGTGTCAGGACAATCGTTTTCCTGGAGGGGTTTCTGCTTTTCGCACCACCCAAGGAGGAAGATCCGGACCATGGGTTGAGGGAGGTGCAGGAGAAGATGGATGTGAGGTTGTTTTTGCCGGCGAGGTATGATAATGTTAAGGAGAGGAGGGAGGGGAGGAGTGGGTATGTGACTATTGGGCCGGCGCCTGTACAGCAGGGTGGTGAGGGTGAGGGTAGTGGGAGTACGGAGTTGCCGCAGAGAGGGTCGGTGGAGGTGGATTTGGAGAAGGAGGATGATCGGCCGCCGCAGAATTTCTGGACGGATCCGCCGGGGTATGTTGATGATATTGTGTGGCCTAATTACGTACAGGATCATGCGTGGTTGTTGTTGCCGGATAGGGACGAAGGGTCGACGGAGTGGAGGAATGCGGACACGCAGGAGCTGGTCAAGCTGGTGGGACAGGGAGTGAATCTGAGAATGGATGCGGGTGTAACGGTGGCTCCTGGACAGGGAGAGGCGTCTATGACGGACATTCTCGAGTGGGCGGTCGAGGAAGTACTTAAACACATTGCGGAAACAGAAGGACAATGACAACCTGGTTCATCTGTAGTACCTAACTACACAGAGGACCTCCCCAAAGCCACTCCCTTGTCATCCATATCAGTACCTATTCCTCTTTTCCATTTTTCCTATTATGCGACAGTCTCGCCGTGAATCTCGCTTTCCACTGGGCCCCGCCATCCAAGCCAGTAATCAATCCTATCCCGAAAAGTCAACTCATGTTCAGATTGCGGTGACTCAGGGCTTTGCGGTGCAGCTGGTGCCGACCTCGTAGACTCGTGGCCCACTTTCGTGGTCTCAGCAACCATTGTTACCTCTTCGTTTGCCTCCACAGAAATACTGACTCCTGGCGTTGGATCATCTTTGGAATTGCCTTCCCATGACATATCGGGCTGACCGATGTAGCTTGGCCAACGTACTGTCGTCGGTTGACTCATGTTAAGGCTTCCCGCAGCCAAATCGGCAACAGTGGGTGTTGCCTTAGTTGGCGAAGCCACAGTATCAATGATGGTATTATTCAGCCAGAACGCTAAAATGGTCCCCAGAACATAGATAGCGCATATGAAGACGAGTCTCATCTTCTGTATAATGTTATCTGATCTTGGAATGCTCTCATTTGTGCAACCATCCAATGGCTGTTTGTCCTCACCAGGTAGGTCCGCGACAACAGCAACGGCACTTTTATCTGCAGGCGTCTTCGAGCCATCAATTCCCGGTTCCTCCATTTCGTAGCCACGAGAACGCTCAATACGTGAGACTGATACAGCCTCCACTTTTTCGAATGTTCGTCGGAGGTGATGTCTAACACGGTCACTCGGGCTGGTAAACCCCGGATAAATTCGTGGGAGCCAATTGATTGCTTGGTGTTGAGGAAGCCGAACTGTCCAGTTCACACAGAACAGTTCAAGATCTCGGGGAGAGCAAATAATCTGTAGGTAAGCAGAGCCAATACCGACGTTCTCCCTTGCTGGAATATGGATCATCTTTAGACCGCTTTCCTGAGCATCAAGGTTACTGCGGTAAACACTATCTGGACCCCCGTCGACAGAGAGAATGAGACAGCATGTTTCGGCCCAAAAGCAACGGTTGTGCAGTCTGACAGAGCAGACGGCGTGGTATGTTGCCTGCAATTCTGGCGGACTTTCAGCTTTGGCAGAGGCCACTGCATATTCGGCTCTGATCTCCTGGTGCACCGTAAAGTCCTTGACAACTCCGTAAAATGTCCGGTCGCACCTTCGCAACGGGATCACAAGGTCACCCGCATAGCTGAACTCACCCAGGAAGCAATTTTCCACGACCTTATGTCTCTGTAAGTTCGTGGTGCGGAACTCGAGACCATGTTCCTCTGGCATGAGAAAGAGAAGGTACCCAAACTCGCCAGTTACCAACTTAGGTAGGCCTTGGATTACTAAATCATTCCATCCGCTCTGCTTTCTTTGCCGCAGGGACACGGATACGGTAACAATGAACTTGTAGTGTCCTGGCTGAAGTTTGGAAGGATTCTTAATGATTAAAGTACCACTGTCAATAGTCAAAACTGGTTCGCAGTGTACATTCAAGCGTGACTCGTCATCAATTTGTGTGGAGGTTCCCTTTTCGTCCGTAGTCTCTTCGTGAGAAGGTTGCGGTATGGTGAGCTTTGGAAGTCGTCGAGGCTCTGTAATTTCCTTCGGTTCGCTATCAGCTACCATAAGTACCTCCCTGGGGCTGGAATTGGATAGTGGCGCTTCTTTCACAGCTGGAACGGACAGTGATGAGCCCGCACTTGAACGTTTCCTGGAGGGGCCTTTGCGCACTTTGCCGGATGCTTTTACGGTACCTTCATGTGAAGGCTCAGGTAACCATGTAATTTTATCAATCGAAGCGAAGTCTGCATTGACGTCACCGAAGCTGGACCGCTCCATCACTGGCTGTTCAAGTATACGATCTGGTTCTTCGCCCGTGTCTGGATGCGCTGGTGATGAGTCGAGAGTAGCAAAGGCATCACTGGCTTCGAGCTGCATATCACTTGCTATTCCCTTGACCTCAAAAGCACTGGCTATACCCTTAGGGTGCATACTGCTGGAAGAAATTTCTTGTGTTATATGGTCACTTTGGGCCCCGCTGGGCGGATCATTGTGCCTTTCCTTCGCAACAAACAGGGAGTTGGAAACTGGGTGTCTATCGTGGTCTGCCCAGACCTCGAGTATTTCCCTTTTAGGTTCCGGTTTTGCAGGACTGATGTTGGTAATATGATCCTTCCGCGTAGCTTTCCTACTATGATCCTCCATATCCGAGCCCGGCGGAGAGTCCGTCAGGCCTGCGGCAGCAGCACTTCTTTTCCCCAGATTATGCTGCTTGATAGCATCAATAATCCTAGTATACTCATCGCTAATATCGGATACAGATGACGTATGAGCCGAAGGATGACCCAGCTGATCGATTCCTATATGGCAATTAGAGTGATCACCAGCAGTCCCATCAACTGAGGATACTAAATCTCGAGCCGAATTCTCGGTATTTGCGCGAACATGCCCCTCAGAAAGCTCTGAACCAGACATCGGAGAATGTGCTGGGTAAGAGTCTGTTGTTGTAGAAGAAAAGGCGAACAAAGGACTGGAAGGGGAGCTCGAGCTTGACCAAGTACCATCACTATACTGGTCAGGCTGAAGCCGAACCAACTGTGTATTGACGATAGAAACTCCGGCAGATCTGACATTCAAGATGGACAGCTGCGTGTTGGGGATGCAATGGGCCTAAGTTCGACGAAGGGGAAATTTCTCGATGAGCAATGGACAAAGTACAGTCATAGGGATGTATTCAGCTCACCACCATAGAGATTCTGCAGTTGACAGGCTCATCTAGGCTGCCGCTCCAGGTACTTCGAATGTCCAGGTTGGAGACCTCCGGAGAGGCTTGGGGCGGAGATACTGGACGGATCTTGTCTTCGTAAGAAGCCATGATCAGAAGAGTGATTGGTTTGACGATGCGTTGAGGTAAAAATATCAGAGCAGACTCGGGTGGACGACAACACAGCTGCGTGTAAGCAGAATGATTGTAAGAGCAGAATGGGAGCAAGACTGAATGAGTGAATGCTAGCAACTGTGGAGTGAAGAGTGAAGGCGACGATTTAACGAGGGGAAGAAGCCGGTTGATTCGCGCTCCAGTTGGGAAGCTCCCCCAAAAAGGAAGGCAACACCCGGCCTATCCTCAGGCAGCCCAGCCCACCTTTAGTCTGCGAATATAACTTCTGTGCTGGAAGGAATAACTCCAGCTGAATTGCTCTGGGATTATTCATTTTAATAATAACGAGAAGTGGCAGCATAACCATTAAGCTACCCATCTCAAGTCAAATTCTGTCAAGTTAATATGTACATCGAAGTCAAACCGTCCAGCCATCATCCCGTCATCACTCGATCCAAAGCCGTAACCATAACATAATAACGGGGAATAGAAATAACAATCAAACACCTGTAGTATGGTTATCCCATTTTGAATCCCCGAGGCGCCATTTATCCCCAGAGCCCGATTCTTGTTCCCAGTAAAAGCAAAACACCCGTCCAACTGTCTATCCAAGGAGGTAAAAGCAAAGAGAGAGAAAGAACAACCAGAGCAAAATCGACCATCGATCAAGACCACGAGCAACCGAGCCATAGTAGCCTAAGCACTCCGAAACCACTTATCGCGGGGTCCCATTCGCTGAAGCAGGTTGCTCAAAGGACGCCTGGCCAGGCGTAGAACCGTACCTGTCCACTTCATTGGTAGCAATAGGTTGTGAAGGAAGGATCGGCGTCGCTGCTTGAGAAGACTGATCGAAATAGCCTCGTGCCGCTGCACCGTTGGTTCCTTGAGCAAAATTTCGATTCCGTTGTTGCAAAGGAGGAAGGATTGTGGACCCAGTCTGGTATTGCGAACGAGGGTAGCTTTGTGGCATCATTGCTCCCGTCGAGTCCGCTGTCTATCCAGAATAATATACGGTTCTTAGCTTCTCGTCCTTAACGACGGGTAGTAGGCGGAGTCCATACAGGAGTACCAGGCGCGTTGACCATTCCTAAGGACTGCATCGTGGCCTGCTGGCTGGATCGACCGTGTGCCCCAGGGTCTTGCATCTGGGGTACCTGAGTGGAGGACGGAATTCCGTAAGACATCTGCCATATTGTTAGCGTCCTGCTTAAAACCCCCGGCCCTGGAAACGACGCTTTGTGGGGACGCTGCCGTTCTCTCAAGCCGGTCTCTTAAACAACGAATCGGGCAGACGAACCGCATAATCTGGAACCGCCGTGTGCCCGGCAGGGTAGCCTTGCATCATAGGAGTTGCGTAGCCGCCTGGCTGATTGTAGATCGCCGTTTGAGGGTACGTATCCATCTGACGCATCCGCCCATCCGTGTCATACATTCCCCGGGTCCCAAGATCTATAGATGACATTCGCGGCCGCTTACTGGGGTGTGTCTGCTGTCCATAGTACCCGTAGTCCCGACTCGTCGTCGGGTAAGCGCTGAACGCGTTGCTTGGCATTTGGATCGAAGAACGATCCGGCGAGCGCGGAATCGGCTGCGGATACTCCTCTGGCCGGGGGACAGGTCGTTTGCTGTCTCACTGGTCAATCATACAAAACCACTTCTCGCAGGTTTCCCAGCCACTAGGCTACTTCACTCACATTAATGTTCGTGGCTCCTTTCTAATTCTCAACTTCACACCTTGGTCCGCGAAAGATCTGGACAAGAACGTCGACTCTGCCATGCCCGGAAAACTTTTCGGCGGGTACACTGTACGGGGTCAGGAGCTGCATTCTCATGAACAGGGTTCGCGGGGAAGTGAACGAACCGGTAAATCTATCTGTGATGATTGACTTCAAATGGGTTACGACGTCCCTTTAACCGCCGCAAAATCAGCATGCGCTTCACACAGGCTGTGGAGAGGCTTGTTGGGAGCTACCGCGAAGCCAAAAGGAAAACCTACTTTCGCATTTCGAAGAGAGTGAACTTGAGCCGAAAATCTCCCTCGATCTTTACTGACAAGTCCCCCCAAACGAAGAATCCGCCATCTGATCCAGATCCAGTCAGTAAGCCGATTTGAGGCCTGTTTTCAGGCTCACTCGAGGACCCAGCTTACCAGTATTATCCACATCTTTCAACCTGTGGAGAGACGAAACCAGTGTGCCGGTCAGAGCGGTGGACGGGGCCACGGGAACCGGATTGTCCTCTGACGCGTCATACAAGCTGCAGCACATAAAATAATAAGGGCTCTGCAAGTAATGCCTATCGAGGTTTGTCAGTGGGCTGAGTTCACCAACACAACACAAATCTCAAGCGCGAACACCTACTGCGCGAGATAGGTCCCCTCCTCTCTCACTCGAATCTGCACAATCGGCGGTGGATCTACTGGCTTGCGCTCTGCAGCGGGGAAACAGTTCCCAAGTCAACTTCTGCTCGTCCGTTGGGGGTGCTTTTCAAAAGAAGAATGGAAGAGACTGGCAAAGCGGGCGATTCCACATACCTTTCTCCTTCCCACCCGCCACGCGCGCCCGGTTGGGCTGCTGGCGAACGATCAGGTCAAAGTCGGAGCTGGTAATCATAGTCAGTTGGAAGCCCTGGGTAGCTGAGTAAGAGTTGGGAAGTTTTAACGAGGTCCAGCAAACTGGGGAGGACAAACCTCTGAGAATCGCGGGCAAGGGAAGCGTCCGGAAACGTCGACGCACTCATCAAGGCGAGCTCTCAAGGATCGAACCTAAGCAAATACGGGAGCCAAAGGATCCAAGTCGGATATCCGCAAGAACGGACAGCAGTGAACCACGTCTGAACAACAGAAGGTGGCCAGGGGAAAAGTGAGATATGATGAAGAAACAAAGAATGAACCGATGGGTTAACAGCAGGGAAGAAGAGTTCGGGTCTCTGGAACCTAGCAGCCAGCGACTTGTGGTTCGACGAAGCACTAGAAGAGAGAATGATACACGGTGGGGGTGAAAGAGGGGAGTTGGGGTTGGTTAAAGATGGGACACGACGGTATGATTGACTAGTTAGTCAGTCCGTAGCAGCTGGAGCTGGACCTTCGACCCAACTTCCGGAGTGGAGAATCCGTAGGAAAACACCGTCTGGGCTGCCACTTGCGTCGGGACGCTGGGAAAGATGGCCGAAATTGCAGTAGCACCGTCAAGTAGTTTTCAAGCTGCAATGAGGCGAATGCGGTACGAAAACGGCGCCGAGAAGGAAGAAAAAGATGGATGGTGTCGTCAGAATGCAAGCGGCAAGAGCCAGCCGAGCACGGTTCCAGACAAACCTTAACCAGCCAATTCGACCCAAGTGGATTGCTAAGTAAGTTGCTTTGCTTTCTTTTCCACTTCTTCTTCACTTTTGACTGGACTGCCTTTTTCTTTTGACTCTTATAGGGGAGGAGAGCTTCTTGAGTTTGCGGCTGCTGTTGTTGTTGCTTGCTGTTGCTGCGGCTCCGATTCGAGAAATAATGTAGTAGTAGAAGTAGTAGTAGAAGGGTGTTCGTCACTTTTCTTTATTTTCCTCTTTTGCTTTTTTTTTCCCCTTCCCTTCTCACACTCTTTTTTTTTTCTCCGATTAAACTCTTTTGGTTTTCTCTTTTTTTACCTTCCTTTTTTTTTCTCCCCTCCCTTTATGTTTTGTTGGGTCTTGTTCTTCTTCGCTTGTTTTTGCTTGTTATTCAAGATTCCCTTCTTCTTTAAAAATTTTTTCCTTTTTGTTCTTTCGGGGTCTTTCTCAGTAATAGAATTTTTTTTCACCCTTGGAAGGATATTATTCACGTGAGGATGAAACGTCGTGGGTGCCTGGCCAATCTAGTTCTTTTGGCTCCTTCACCTGAAGAAAATTCCGGGAATCCAAATGGTGCTGTGCTGCGACCGTGGTGTCTGTCTGGGTCATTCAATGGACGCCCGGGTCTAGACGTCACAGATCGCGCGGCCGAGTAGAGAAGGAAAAGAAAAAAAAAATATTAAGGGAAAAATCACAGACCAACTCGAGCGGAAAACAAAATAATTTTCGCGCCCCCTCCTTCGAAACAAATTTTGCCCAAAAGTCAAATGAATAATAATAGTAGCAGCAGGCAAGCAAATAGTAGTTTGAAGCGAGCGAGCACTAGGTGTGGCGGGATTGAACACCGCCCAGCGATCAGACGGTAGCTGAACGATGGGTCAACAAAGTCGCCTCTGACAGGTCTCTGACGCACAAAAATCCACGAAAATATATGCGTGGTGCCCGAGGGTGTGTCAAAATTAGGAAGTCTAGGGTAAAAATTTACTGGAAATCAAGACGACAGCCAGCTGAAGGGTGTACCAGACAAATGGCCTAGTGGAGCTGTACCGGAAATCGCAGAGCAACGCCGGCCACTGTTCGGCCGTCGAATGGTATCGTTCCCAGTCACTTCAACCACGGTTGGGCATGCGGGCTAGGGTGTTGTATCAGCCTTGACGATCCGACAGGAACCGCAGCGACATGGAGATGATGCGCACATTGGCAAGTCCCGAGAAGGAAAAATGCGAGGGAGGGGAAATGACAAAAAGTTCGCATCCAAACTGCGGCCACCTGCGCAAGACTCAAAGTCTACCTCCCTCTTTTCTAGGCTGGATCGCCTGAGAACCAACAACAGACCACTGGTTCGAGTTAGGCACGAAATCCACCGCGTTTGCGGCAAGCCACTACCCCCTTCCCCGAGCAATTCCCCAACCCACACGCGCAACGGCGTGGTCTCGTGCGCGTGGAGATGGAGCCGGCTATGCAAGTGATCAGACCCGTATCTAGGCGCCACGCAGGGTCTCCAGCTCTTGATTTGGCGCCAGTGAAGTTGTTTGATGCTGGTCGGTGCGCGCGTCTAAAGTCTCCAGTCAGACTCGTACTGTATCGTCGTTCCTTCAGCACTATACTGAGGAAGAAGCCAGTTATCTCTGCGCTGGTTTGAGAAGAGCGACGCTCATCCGTAGATAGATAGGCCCTTTAGTCCGTCGCCCTTTTTCAGTTGCTGGCTCCTACTTGTCCGCCTATCAAAGTTTCTCTGCGTTTCGGCCGAGGAGTCAGCATCAACAAGCAGTAACATCATCCCTCTTCATCACCTCACTCCCCTTCACACCACCACCACCACCGCTACCGTGATCAATAACGACACAGCATCACAAGGACACGACGAACCATTGACTGACCTCTTATGTCATCCACTTAAGAACCGTGTTTCTAGACAAAGGAAAGATCCAAGGTCGAGAAGACGGCAGGAGGGGTTCAGGGCCCCAAGGCCCACTCAATATCCTTTGAGCCCTTTGTTAGACTTCGAGCTGATCCGTCAATCAGAATTAACTTTGTTCAAGCAATTATACTGAGGCTTTTGGAGGCTGCCTACCTATTCTGTACCCGTTCTTTAGTCGCGTGTTCTTGCTTGGGTTTGTTCGGGGAGGGCGCACAGGCTTGTCTATTGAACCGCAAAGATGATGAAGAGAGGGGTATGAAAGGAAGAGAGTTGGGGCGGTAGTTTCAAGGCGAAGCGGTTTGGCCGAGAAGAACGGCGACGAGGAGTTGCTGCTTTTGCTGCTGCTGCCAACCCCGGTCTGTGTCACGAGGGCCCATCCCCTGTCTGTTCGTTCTTCCCCTCGACAGCAAAGGCTGCAGCCAATTCCCCAAATTCCAAATCCCTTTGCTCGGGGATTTATTCTCTTCGACCTTCGGTTGTTTCACTCTGGACTGACTTTCGTACGACAACGGGATTGACCACCCCTTATCTTGATATCTCTCACCCCGCGATGTTCACAATATGGGGATGCCCTCAGCGACGACGACGCAAGTGAAAGGAAGCCTGACGATCGTGGACAACCACCACCACTCTGGTCGGAAAACGGAAAAAAAAGAAAAGAAGGAATATGAAAGAGAGAGACAGAGAAATAAATATGAAATCGATCACAATGAGAATAGTCAAACCAAAGGTGGTGGGAGTGGGCCTCTTTTCAACGTGCAGGCGTGGGGAAAAAGGTCGGGCTCGAAAGTCAACCTTTTAGCTTCTGCTGCTGCTTCTGCTGCTGCTGCTGCTGCTGCATTCCTGGGACCTAGCCCGAGAGATGCATCACATTGCCTGGAATTTGACACGCAGGTCGCAGAGCTTGCGTCCCACTCATACATTCATACTGTTGTGCTGGAAGGTTGATTCGATCTCGGGGAACGGGGCGCTCACCCCTCAGCAAAGCCGGGCCGCCAGAGATCGGATCGCTGGGCTGATGCGGCGTTGAGAAAGTAAGCATGCATGAGTCGTTTCTGAAAAAGAGGGATCGTCGAGAGCAATTCTTCCCTCTCACTTGCCTAAGCGAGATTCAGCAATGAAGAGCTAACCTTACTTTAATAGTGTTGACCATCTGGTTGGACTACGCAGCCTCTCCATGCATAATCTGAGGGTCCCTGGTTCACGCTGTGTAAAAGCGCGGCTGAGAATTACGCTTCCTTGTTTCCTCCGTACAGCGCCTGTTCCCCCTTGGATTTTCCATCTGATTTTTGGCCCTTTTTTTTTCTCTTTCCCGACTTTCCATTTGCCCTTCCCCTTGTACCCTTTCTATTTTCGGGAGTTCCTGGGGGAACCTCTCACCATTCCCCTCAGATGCGTTGCATTGCGTACGGATCCTGGATCTTATTAGGTGGTAGTGGCAGCTGCATCTAGCCGCATCAACTGCAAAGCTACTGGTTCCAGGAGCCCGCAATCGCGATTCTCGCCATTTGCCAAGTGTCAAGCACAACTGGACGATCGACTTTGCCAGAGAGGCTGTATTTCTTCGTTCAACGCAGCGACGCGCCCAACTATCATCGCTAAGAGATTGGCATCACCTCAGACAGAAGTCCGGGGTTCATCAAGAAAATTATCACGTAAAAAGGATCAGCAGAAAGCATGCGTCCGATGATTGGCAATCCCTATGCAAGGGTGGCATAGACCAATGCCTAAGTTTGTAAGGATATGGATGGGCAGACGTCCAGGATAGCGGAGCTTTGGACATGATACCTGCAAGTCAGGAACGAAATTCATCCCCGACGGGAAAAAAGATACCAGCGGAGGAAGGTCGATAAGGATTTTGAACGAGTGATGCGACTTATTTTGTCCGCCGCACGGCTCAATCAAGCCATCCGGTGGACGACGGAGGTGGGCAGAGATGGGAGGGGAAAGAAGAGAGGGGTGAGAAAAGAAAAAAGAAAAGAAAAGAAAAAAACAAGTACGGAGTATAATGGGGCAGCAAAATGGCGAGTAAAACCAAGGAAGACCAGCTCTAGTCCATTCATCACTTTGTGGATGGGTACGGAGCACACACTTACACTCACACAAACACACACTGGGCCTGATCGACGCCATAGACAGAGAGACCTGTCAGCAAGTCTCCGGACGCGATGCTACCATGGGGCCTTTGAGTCAAGGAAATTTCCTACACCACAAGTGTACCGATAATGCCACGTTTTGATGGCATGGTGTACGAGTTTACCGAGTCATGACAACAAAACAATGAAGCTTTGGGATGGACATTGTCCATGCTTGATGGATGCTGAATGGGCGAATAGACACAGACGCACACAGACACACAGATACACACGCACACCGAACAGGCAGTGGAAAGCCCACTGTGGGTTCTTAGTTTGAAGGAATAAATTCCCTACCGCCATGACCCATTAAGGGAGGTGAAAATTACCACAAAAAGACAGCAGCGAAAGAGATCAGGAGAGGGAAAAAATTACTGATAAAATCAGGGTGGGTAAAGAATCGCAAAACGATTAGAAAAGAGAGTTAAGAGAGAAAAAAAAAAGAAAAGAAAAGAAAATCGAAAAAAAGAGAGCCAAAATCACCAACACTAGGGAACTAATTTTTTTTTTCGCACTTTTTCCCCCCTCCTTTTCTTGTCTCTCGACAATCGAACAGTTGACCCTCTCTCCCCTTTCGACCATTTACATATCCGGTGGGGACACCGACCAAATGCACGATGAAGTGTTCGGCGGACCCAAGCGGTTGCCTTTCTGTCCAGACTCCAGCTAGCACGGGGAGCGAAACCTTTCCTGGTTATTGTTGACAGCGGTCCGCCGAGCATCCCCAGTCTGAACCAGACTTTCATCAACGCTTAGACTACGCTACAGTTATGCTTATTCGGGGTCTGGGGGCGGTTCCGAATTTCAAGAAGATCTGACCCAGGGTATGTTCCTTGGAGGCTAGAACTTCCTGGGTTCGCTCGTCGCCGGTTCTTCAGGAGCTCCAGGGGGCAGCCGAGGCCCGCCCGTCCCTGTTTTTGATTGATGAATTAAGTACTACTCCGTACTGGAACAAGAATTCCTGATCGTGGTTCGACCGGGGTTCAGACCACAAAATAGTCCTTCGTCCATTGCATCGTCCGCACCGGAAGGTGCACAAAAGAAAATTTAATCCTTCGCTAATCGCGAGTAATAATTATCGACGCCTCAGCTGGTCCGACTAAGGAGAGCCCGGACAGGGATTCGGGCCTATCGAAGACCCCGAAAAGACCCCGGGAAGCCTTTATCGAAGCGATCAGAAAGCATCAGGAGGAAAGGCCGGGTGATTTGTAAAAAGAAGGCTAGATGATAGCACGAAGTACGGCGACGGGAAGGAGGGGATGGTCCGGAGAGAAAGATTCCTGACTAACTGACAGATCATCTTCAGAATCCGAGAGGTCAGACAGGCTAAGACGCCTCTCATCCGCTAATTGATTCGATGACGGGCTCGCCATTATTATCGATTAATTGACTTATCGTTGCTCCAGGATCAGATATGGTGACTTCATTGCCCTTCTTTCGGCCGGAGCAATAGAGTCGATATCCTTCTGCTTCCTCCTGAAAGGGATGAAAATAGCCCCAGAGCAATCCATCACCATTCACCGCCAACCCAGCCCAAATCGAACGTCATCACGCATCGCAGACACAAACCCTCCACACAATAGCTATTGTCATGAATGGGGCATGTGAAATTCCAAATTCTCCATCAGACATGCAGTCAAGATCGCAGGATGCAAAACAGCACCTCCACCGCACCACACGGGGGAGGGGGCTTGTACCTAGCGGATGCTATCACCACCATGGATGCAGCCCAGACGTACTGTACATGCCAGCCGCCTCGCCACATCAGCACAGGACTAAGTACGATGTGCAGGAAGTCCGGAGCTGCTCGGCAGATGAGCCACACCTCGGTTCATTCTGGATGGGGACTGATAAAAGTCCTATCCGTCGAGTTGCTTCGTGGTCCCACTCAGCAACGCGATGACCTGTAACCTCCTACCAACCGATCAGGAGAGAAACGAACGGGCTCGACTCTACAGTCACGGTATTTAGACTTTTCTCCAACTGCAACTCGTCCTCATAAATCCGTCCATTGCGCCCCTCGCAGCGCTGTGAGTACCGTGTACTCCGGCCTGGTAAGTAGATCAATAAACCACTATCCCCAAACGGGATTTCCTCGTCGGAAAAGGATTCCAAAATCCGATCTCAAAGCCACATTCCTTCTTGCTGTTGAGTTTACCGCCACCGCCCGACAGGGGCGTTTGTAGAGAGTCAATCTCGCCAAGTTTCAAGCCTTCAGCCACCGGGAAGAGGAATTTTTCTTTTACTCAGACGGAGACGAGTATTCCGTATACTGGGCACTTTTACAGGATGATAGATACTCCGTAGTAGAAGGGCAGTTTTAACTACTAGGTAGCTACCTAGGCAAGGGCTATACATACCCCTCCTAAGCCAAAAAAGAAAGGAAAACACAAAGAAACGCATGCAGGGAAGGTACTCTCCTCACCAGGGAAAAAAATAATAATTAAATAAAATAAGATAATAGTTATAATAAGAAAAAAAAAATACACACGAAAAAGTCAAGAAACAATACTCCCTATCTAGAAAAGTAAATGCAAAGTAAACTTTCCACTGCACCGACTCCTCCTAAGATACTGTAAGTACCTCTGGATGAATTCCTGGAAACCGACTCTCACGCAACCTTTCAGTACCCACTCTTTTTCTCCTCCCCTCATCCTCCTCCCTCATCCTCTCCAAATCCAACCTGCAAGTTGTCTGCAAGAACCACCTGGCCAAACACTAAGTTGCCTTGCAACTTTCTCCTACCTTCTCTTTTTATTTTATTCGATTTATACTATATAAGGTATTTTCTTTTTCTTGCCTTCTTTTTTTTTTTTGTATACCCTCTCGGCCTATCTCCGAAGAAGAAAATAACAAGTAAAATAGAAAATAGAAAATAAAATAAAATAAAATAGAAAAGCGGTTTCTCATGTCTCATTGGAGGAATTAGTCTTGCTTGATTTGGTACTACTTCTACTATTACCACCTCACTATCTGTGTACAGTGTACACCTTCTGTACTTTACCCTCTTCTACCCTATCTAAGTATAGTATGGAGTAACTACCATCCAACCGCTTGCAATATCCCATTTCCAAAATGTACAGTAGTACTAACATAGTAAGTAGCATTTTGTAAGTGCATTTGCTTACGGCACACGGCAAGGTAGTAGGAATCTTATCCACCTACCTACCGAAAGCGGAACAGGCCCCCCATTCGGGCAACATCCTGCTGTTTCAGCCACATTCCGGGGCAAACACAGCGCAGCGCCCCCATAACTAACGTAATCCACAATCGCGCGGCCCATCTTGTAATGCCATACAAAAGTTATCTTTTATAATAATCATAATATCTCAATAACTACACTTTATATAAGTCTACAATGATAAATAGAGATTAATAATAATAAAATAAATATATTAGAAGTGTCCAAATATTTTTAAATAATTTATTTATATTTAATTTAGAGATATCTATAAATTATAAGTAAATTACAGGTATTTTATATTACCAGATGTTATATGTAGTTATTAAAATCCAAAAAAAATATTAAAAATAAATTTTTGATTATTGTAATCTCTCTTTTAAAGATAAAGTCATATAATTCCAGGATGGTTAAGATATTAGAGATTAAAAAAACAGCTTTTATATGGCATTAGTTGATGGGCCGCGCGATTGTACGGGCCGCGCGATTGTGGATTACGTTATTACTTACTACTTACTAATTCCGATGGCGGTGTGTGTGGCGCTGCAAGCAAGCAAGTAAGTAGTATCGTATCTATTTAGTAAGAATGTGGCTAATTCGTTAGAGATTGAGTTTTCTGAAGGAATCGGAGGGATCGGATCGGGATCTCGCATTCTTTTTCCAATTCTTGGGTAGGTTTTCTTTGCCTTGCTGGGTATGTACGTTAGGAGGGAAAGTATAGTCTTGGTTTGGTATGTTTTTGTTATTAGTATCTATAGGTTTGTGTGGTAGTCGTAGATTGGGTGTTTATGGTTTTGTCTAGGAATAGATGATTAAATGATGGTATGAAGTTCGGTTTTGGATGGATTTGTCACGTTTACTTAAGAACTTAGTGTTTTGAAATTGCAGGTAAATAGGTAGGTAGGTAGCGACAATCATGATTTGGTCTGAGATTGAATCTCATCCTCGGTGGGAGAAAAGCTACGTTACAAAAGTAGGGCTGAATGAGAAACGCACAAAATGAAGCAATAGGCAAGGACGTCCAAGTTTAATAAAACCAAACTCTCACATGAAATGGAGCAGTAGTGGGCGAATGGTAATGTAGAAAGGGGGAGAAATGGAAGGTCTCACAGGATCCGAAACAACAGCCCTGGAAACCGATGGTGTAGTAGGCAATGTACTGAAGTGTGCATCGAAGGAAGAGACGAACCCAAAAACTCCGGATGACCCCGTCACTCCTTGCTTAGTACAATGTGCAGAGAGAACAAATAGACGTGTAGAGGCAGAAAGAGACAAAGCCAAGTAGGTGAAGTCATGAAGTGTATCCCCGTAAGCAAAGTCAAAGCCAGACTTGAGAGTCAAGAAACAAAAACACCCCACGCCCAACAATAGTAACTCGCAAAGAACGCCCCGGGAAATGCCTCGTGTATAGTAAAATCTTTTGGAAATGCATTCGAAACCTCCAGACCCTAGACAATGTCGCAGGATCAGGTCTCCATCACAGCGTCTCCGTCCGCGTCGGTACCGTTGCGCTCGGCTTTGTCTGCAACGCCGTTCTCGTGCGCCGATAGAGCGGTGTCCTCGGCAGGCACCATAAGCTCAAGCTTCTCCACGTAGGACTTGCGGCTAACCGACTTGGTGAGCTTGGGCTTCCCCTCCACACCCTTGCCTTTGGAAGGGGTTACAGGCTCGACATTAGTCGTCTCGGCTGCTTCATTCTCCGGATCCGTAGTCCCATTGGACGTGGGCAGCTCGTCCTCACCGACAGCTGGGTTGATACTCAATTCGGGTTCGGAGGATACATGGGTCTGAGACGTCGTATCTGGCCCATCTGCCGGTGTATTCTCCATATCATCATACGGCTCGTTCTCAATGCCATCCGGCTCTGCGCTCGTAGAATCCACCGCAGGGGAGTCAATCAGTTTCGCGCTACGGCCGCGCCGGACACTAGCTGGATTTGCGGAAGGAGTCACGGACGTCAAAACGGATGCTCGTCTGGGAGTATTGCGGCCACTGGTCCGAACGGCAACTGGTGTCCCGCCCATCTTGGCGGATTTGCTGCCGAACGGTCGGCCAGGACGCTTCTTATGGGATGGTGCTTGCACTGGAGGATAGATCTCAAATCTCCAGGCAGGGACGTCTCCAGCAGGATTGGACTCGGCCGGTGTGCTCGAGGTCGCCGACGCCGTATTCGGATGACGGAAGCCGTTCACATTAGAGAGCATATCAGTAGAAGGAGGTCCAGCTGGCTCAGTCGGAAGCTGTTCGGAGTCGACGTCGCCAGTCCCATTCGTGGTCGGAGGACCAGAGCCATCCTCCTTAGACTCGCCAACATCTGTTGGAGACTGTCGCTCTTCTTCGTTTCCAGACTCCTTCACATCCTCGCTTTCTTCATCCTCCAGGCCTTCCCGGGGTGCCACGGCGTGTAACGGGGCGCGATCAAACTGGGATTGGTTGCTCCGACCCATGATGTAAGGTGTCCATACGAGCGCGTCGGGGTTAAGCTGGACATATCCTTTGCTTTCCCAGCTGGCGATGCACTCCTCGAAATATCGGTAATCAAGCCGCAAGGCGTAAGTCTTTGTCACCGGGTCTCTGACAAGCGCCCGCAAAGCTTCCAGACCGGACACGATGTCATCTGCGGTCATACCGGTCCGCTCAGATAGTTCGGTTATACTAAGCGGCGTCCTTTGACTCCGCAACTGGTAAGATAGAATGAGACGCCAGTAATTCCTATAAGAAACCAACCCCATATCAGATAAGGGCTTCTCCGGCGAGCCCGTCTTGCCTTCAATGCGCGTGAGCAAGTACGAGAAGTCGATGAGGAGGTTTCCATAACCTTTCCGTTGGTGAATAGGGAGTGTGAGAATGCAAGAGACATTATTAGCCGAGCTAGGCCGCTTCTCTTTGCTGAAGTAGCCAACAAAATGGCAGCCCAAGTCATCGAACTCCGTCATGACATAGAATAGAAACGGCTCAACATCATAATAGAGTGTCTTCGAACCCAGGAACAACTTGGCGAGCAGGCAGAGATTCTGACAGTAAACGGGGTTTTTTCGTCCGTCAACTTCGAAGATCGATATCGACCCTTCACGGTAAATCTCATCGCCCGGAGGGTGTTTCGCCGGGCATTTAAGCTTGTGGCGCCACGCGACGTAGTCTGAGTTCATGTATTTCAAGCAAAATTCGCAAATGTAGAGAATGCGATTGCGACTGTACTCCTCCGGGTATGGTGCCGCGTACCAAGTCTCAATCTCGTAGCCGCCAAAATTGATGTATTTGATTCTAGACGGGGGACCGGACACCTTCTGCGACGCATGCTGTACAGTCTCCCCTGTGCTCTCAGCTTCTAGAGCTCGTCGTTGCCACTCTTCCTCTGCTTTTTGGCGGGCCTTTTCGAACCTTTCGCGGTCGAGGTGAGTTGGCAGTGTCTTGGAGGTATCCGCATCCGTCTCGGTCAGGATGCCCCCGTACGGTTTGCCCTTTAACTCATCCGTCTCACGGTCGCTAAATGAATAGAATGGGGTGTAGTAAGAGGCGGGTGTGATCGGTGCAAAATGAGCCTGAGGCTCGTGAGCGACGGGTGGTGGCTTTGGGGTCCTTCTGCTTCTCATCTGTGACCTGCTGCGAGAATTGAGAATTTTTGACAGCTTGGACTCGTTGAGGCGAAACGCCATCACAAGACGCTCAAATTGTTTCAATACCACGCGACAGTGCTCTTGCTCGTTCCTACGCGTACGTCGCGAACGGGTCCGTACTGGGGACATGCCATCAGCTGTTTCAGCCATCTGTTCGCGAGAGTCCGCACGATCGTAGCGCAAGGGTGTCTGGCGTTGCCGTTTGCGAAGCACCGGCGCATGCTCCTCAATCTCAGCAGAGAGTGACATGGTCTTTCTCTTTCGCAGCGACCGAGAGCTATTCAATAGTTCTTCGTTGACAGTGACTGTGTTGAAAATTGAATGGAAATCGGAGCCGTCTTCACCCGTATGAGCCGGCAGGAGCTCCTTGCGCATGTTTTTCTGTCTATTTCTCCGTTGCGGCGCCGCGCCATCTTCCTCACTAGGCTTCAACTTCTCGCGCACGCACGTCGGGCACCTCCACGGGTTCGCATCTAGACGGGTCAGCACGAGGACACTCTCGGACACTCTAGAGGCAATTTATTTCCAAAAAGCAACGTACCTTCTGCATCCCCTAGTGCGTTTTGCTCGCGGGCACACTGCCGATGCGCTGCCGGGTTGCCGAGTCAGTAATGATCGCCCAATATCCGGGGAAATTATAGTTTGGATGGGGCCGCAACCCAACGTACAATGATCGCCGCAAACTGCGCATGTCAAATATTCCTCAAACTCCTCACTCGGATCATTATCTTCATCTTGCCCACAAAATCTGTCCAACCAGTTAGCCGAGTTTCCACGGGTATATTGTCGAACAAGGCATGGGCCAGGTCCCCACTCACATGCAGTTTCCGCGGACCGTGGTCTCCGCCTCCGCATCCTCATGGTCATTGCTTTCGCCCTCCCACTCTTCATCCGACTCCTGACTGCTCGATGAAGAACGGTGCGCCTCCTGTTCGCTGTCACTCTGGTTTTCGAATGCCGGATCTGCCTCCGCATCAGCGGCCTCCGACGCTGCATCCTCGTCGTCGGCAGACTGGCCGTTCTGAGGCACCTTGACTGCGCCAACCGGCTCGGTATCGTTCTGATCTCCGACCAGACTCATCTCGTTATCTGGCTCCCCTTCTGCGTCCTGATCCTCCCCAAGGTCTCCAGTCGCAGTATCGTCCGCAGCCTCCCCGGTGAAAGCGCGGTGCGCGGCGTCCTGAAGCTGCTGATCCATCTGATACAGGTCCGTTTCCTCCTCCCCTTCCGCATCCTGGTCACTGTCCACCATATCGGCCGGGGTCTTCGACCCGGGGTCGTCGTTGGCCAGCGGTACAATAGCCGGCATAGTGTATGTCACGGTGGTCGCCAGGGCTGTCACAATAGTCGCCAGATAATGATTCGGGGATTTGAGATACAAGGCAAGCCCAGGTGTTGAGGCTATTCAGGCTCCCCGCGAAAGTAGACGATCATCTGGTGCCGCGCGTGAAACGGGCATCGGGAAGCATAGAACGAATTGCCTGGGGCACCACAGCTCTGAAGACCACACACTGTAAACGGAGATCCGCACAAGATAGAAAGCTCGATTCCCTACAGCAAGCGCATGCTTTCCAAGCAAGGTCAGTGAGGAGTAGGTAGCAACAGCGGGAAGCGGACAATGGCAAGCAACACGTGTAGCGACAGGGCGAAAAACGTACCGTGCCCACAAACAGAGCAGACACTCCGGATCAAGCAGAAGTAGACGCGTGTAACAGCCAGGGAAACGCCGTCTCAAGTCCACTTGCGCAATCAACGCAATCGTCGGCGGCCTCTTTGCCCCTTCTCCTGCCCGTGAGGTTGACGGCCGTGCTGACTCAGCCGTCCCGCCTAAACCGCTTTGGGCCAACCTCCAGACCTCGTCGACGAACGGCGGATTCCCGCGGCCACACCAGCTTCACCTTTCCCCTCGCTGCTACTCCAATTGAGCCTTGTGCATTGCTCTTTTCCGGTCTTCTCGACTTCTATCGTCATCATGGGTGTTCCCTTTGAGGCTCTTCTTCCCTTTGGTATCATCATCGGAGTACGTCCAGCGACCGTTTCCTCCCCTCAATTGTTTTCAACTTGGCGGGTACTGATCAATGCGTGACACAGTCGTTCACTGTCGGCGGTGCCGGCTTGTGGGCGGTTCGGAAATGGGACAACGAGGGCAAGATGCCGCGGTGGAATAAGGACAAGTGGGATAGAGTAAGTGAACCTGCCAGTTACCCGATGCGACCGGGATCAGACGTACTAACTCTTTTACAGCAAAGTATGTGATAACCTCGATTTGACGTCGTGCAACATCCAATTTGCGATCCCCTATTTCCAATCTTGAAGCAGAAGCAGCGAACTAACCACCGACTCCCCCCGCCTACCAGTGATGGAGAGAGACCTGAGAATCACGGGCACGAAACGAGGCCAATCGAGCAACCACGAAGCTCCCAAGGGATTCGAGCTCAGCAACCCCTGGAAGGTACGAACCAGCACCATCAGCAGCAGTGAGCGAAGCAAGATACTAAGCCGTGGCAGATCGAGAAACGGATCTTCTAGACAGCATGGGTTGTCACACGTCATGTCATTATTCCCGCCTGTTCCTTATTTATTCGGCCGCATTACTTTCGAGAGAAATATCCACGCAATGAAAGATTGATTGTATCATATTATAAAAATATCTGGCCGGCTGGGTACACCGCCAGGTAGAATTCATTTAAGCCTTTATTTCCACATCTATATCTATTTGATCTCAGATACAAAACCGCGGATAGCCTCGACTTCATAGTCGCGGAGGTGCATATCAAACCACTTTTTCAGGGCTTTGACGCGATCTGCGTCCCTTTCCAGCGTCTCTACAACCTCCGTCTTTCCAAACTGTCTCTTCTTCACCTCCCGCCCAACGAGAAAATACATCCCCTGCACTTCACTCTCCGCCTCATCCATGATGAACCTCGTACAAACCAGCGACTGCGTGAACCAGCTGGTGGGCCGCTGACTCGTCGCATAATTCATGATCTCGAAATCCTGCGGCAGAAACTCCGTCCCCAGGAACGAGTACATGGGAATCCACCTGCTATCAGGCGTATACCTGATCTGGTAGATCCAGACTTTTTGCGTCTGGTCCGCATACTCAGGCAGGGGCTCATGAACGAGACGCATCTCCGTCGGAGCCATGCACACCGAAACGACATCCTCTTTCAGTGGCAGGGGGCGGGTAGGCCCATTACCCCCGAAACCGACGTCAACCTGCACAACCATTAGCTTGTAGTCACCAAGATACTTAGATACTAGGATAAGCATACCGCGTACTTTTCCCCTTCAATTAGCACAATCAGCACCATATGCGACCTATACCATCATTAGTATATCTATACCACTTTCCCATAGAAAAGCTCCTAGTATAGATAAGAAATAGGGGGGGAAAAACATACATTCCCGAATACAACTTGTCCAACCCCTCCTTCGCCTGCCCCGTCGCAGCCAAACACACTCTCCCACCCGTCGCATAAACCGCATACCCTAAAGACTTCAACACCCCATACAGCAGGGTATTGTTCTCCATGCAGTAGCCATCCAGCCTGCGCGTGACTAGCTTTTCGAACACGCATGCGGGGCGGATATCAATGGTCCGGTGGTTAGAGTAATGCAGGGCTGAATTTCCCCAGGGAATGGATGCTAAATGCCGCCGTTGGATCTCGTATAGGGTACCCAGGGGATCAGTTTTCACGGCTTGTTGTGCTTGGTCTAGTCTGCTGCTGCTGGTGGTGGCGGATTCATTGGAGCCGTAGTGGATTCGCTCGAGGTAGAGGGTGAGTTGGTCGGGGGTGTAGGAGTAGGTATTTGATGCCATTTTGGATGTTTGTATAGTAGGATGCGAATGATGATATTTTTAGGAAGTGGGATAGTAAATATGAACGTGGCCACGTTAGATTAGCAGTCATGAAATTCTACGGAGATCCGCCGGCGTTTTGCGGAATGAAGAGGGGGGGGAGTTTTCAGTAGGTACCCCAGGAACTACTAAAACTACTAAGCAAGTTACTTATTGATAACTATCTCATTGGATGGGAACTGACTCGATTGGGTCCGAGGGTTCAATCAATCGGCCCCCCCCCCCACATTTACTATCCCATGTTCGGGAGTGGCGGTGACATTTGTCAGGGACGATCCGGGAGGGAGATAGATGGATGGCACATTGTAGTATTTATACTGTTATGTCTATTAAGAAGTAGCTTGTTGTCGGATGAATGGGAAATAGTAGAAAATAGAGAAGCGGAGTTTGACAGACGGGATGCATGTAGATCCGATCGGTCGAATGGATAGAAAGTATTATTACTATCTATCTTGTGTGACTATTACACTACTTAAAATTGAAGCTTCTCACACATGATGTCAATGCAACTGATCCTCGGTTATGCAAGAAGGATTCTTTACAGCTTATCTGATCGGATACAACTAACTATTCTTATACCCCTCCATATATCAATCTACTACTACATACTCCGCATAAGTAACAACTCAATATCTATCTACACACTTCAATTCAATCCAATAATCATGTCAACCCTCGAAGAAAAGATCTCCCTCTTATACAACTACTCCGCCTGTGATGTACATCCATCCCTCCCATCCCCTCACCATCACCCACTTACCCATCAAAAACATCAATCCAACTAATAAATAATAATATCAGGTCTCCGACGCCCTCCTCAAACTCCAACCCGTCCCTCCCAACACCCCACCCCGAGCAGGCTACATCGCAGACCTAAGTAACCACCACCACCTCATCCTCCCTACCCATCACCTACCTACTAACATCAAACCAGCCCCCTACTACCCACCCACCCAAGATCCATCGTCCACCACACCCCCCAAACTAATCGCCCCAGCCAGCACCCTCCAATTCATCCCCAAATCCGCCCCCACCCCCACAACTTCGAGAGCAATCCCCCCCTCAACGCACTGGTCCGACCTGACCACGCCCTCCACCATCCTCGTAATCTCTCAACCGGGCGACCAGCACTGCGCCGTCGTCGGGGGCATCATGGCCCTGCGGATGAAAGTCCGGGGCGTGCTTGGCGTGGTAGTGGACGGGAGAGTGCGCGATCGCGCGGAGCTCAAGGCCTCCGGGCTGGGGATCTGGGCGAGAGGAGGATCGACGGTGGGGAGTGGGGCGGAGGCGAAGGCTGGGGAGATGGGTGGGGAGGTGTGTGTTTCGGGGGTTGTTGTTAAAGAGGTAAGTCAATGATCCCCTGTTGGGGTTAGGGTGTTTGGTTTGGCTAATGATGGATGGTGGATGTGCAGGGAGACATCATCTTCTGCGACTACGAGGAAGGAGGAGTGGTGGCTATACCTCGGGACTTGCTGGATCGGGTGCTCGAGGTGATGCCGAAGTTGGTGGGTATGGATGATAAGGTTAAGGAGGCGGTGGAGGGGGGGATGAGTGTTTTTGAGGCGTTTGGGAGGTTTAGGGGGAAGATTTAGGTCTACTCCTCTACTCTACTGTATAGTTAGTGGGGTGGGAGGGTTGGTAGGTTCAATTTGGATACAGTATGGTTGGTATAGTGGTGTGAAGACCAGACCAGCTTGAAGTATAACGAGAATTAGATACAAATCGCTAGGAGACACAACAAAATCATCAATCTAAGTAAGTTACACACAGCCTTTTTGATTTACTCCGCAACCCAAACGGCCGCCATACCCATACCTGTGCCCACGCACATGCTGCTGACACCGATCTTCTTGTTCGTCCGCTTCAGCTCCGTCAGCAGCGTGCTGATCTGGCGGGAACCCGTGCAGCCGAGAGGGTGTCCGAAGGCGATTGCACCACCCTTGGGGTTGATCTTCTCCTGCGGCAGACCCAGCTCGTTGATGCACCAGACGCACTGCGAGGCGAACGCCTCGTTGATCTCGTAGATGTCCACGTCGTCCTTGGTGATGCCGGCCTTCTCCAGGGCCACGGGGATGGCCTTCCACGGGCCGATACCCATGAGCAGGGGCTTGACACCCACGACGCTAGCAGCGACGTACTTGCCGATGATCTTCTGTCCCAGGCGCTCGGCCGTGGAGCGCTTCATCAGCAGCACGGCGGCAGCACCGTCGGAGATCTGGGAGGCGTTTCCGGCGTGGATGGATCCGTCCTTGGCGAATGCGGGTCGGATCTTGCCCAGCGACTCGGGGGTGATGCCGTCGCGGATGCCGTCGTCGGCCTTGACGGTGATGGTCTTCTCCTCGCCGGACTTGGGGTCCGTCCACTTGACTTCCAGAGGGATGATCTCCTCGTTGAAGAGACCGGCTTTCTGGGCCTTGACGGCCTTCTGGTATGAAGCGGCGGCGAAAGAGTCCTGGGCTGCACGGGTGACGTTGCGGTCCTTGGCCATCTGCTCGGACAGAACACCCATGGGAACCTTGCAGTTGGCCGACTCGGGATGGGCCTCGAGAAGCTCGGAGAACTCGGTCACGGCACCGGGGCTGATGCCGATCAGCTTACATATTCACAAAGAGGTGAGGGGGCCAGCACATACCCGTATTGAGACGACATGCTCTCGACACCAGCACCAATACCAACATCGATCATGCCCGATTTCACGGCATTGGCAATATCCACGATCGCCTGAAGACCGCTGGAGCACTGACGGTTCAGACTCTTGACGGCAGTAGATTCGGGGAAGCCCGCCACCAGGGCGGCAGCACGGAATTCCGTCGCACCACCACCAGGGGCAAGGACGGAGCCGACAGCGATGTCGTTGACCTGGCTGGGGTCGATGCCACTGCGGTCGATGACCCCCTTGAAGACACCGGCCAGCAAGTCAGCGGCAGCGGTGTCCTTGAAACCACCTTTTCCACCCTTTGTAAGAGCCGTACGCAGAGCGCAGGTCACGACGATATCATCGGGGTGCTTCTCCGTGATGGCGGAGACTCCCTTCTTGCCACCAGGGCCGAAGTGGGAAGCCACCTGAGACAGACGTTGTTGGGCTAGTAACGCATGGCCGTTAGTTTAGAACCCTTTTTGAGACTCATAAAGGCTACTGTAGACTTACCGGAAGACATGATGACGTCAACGGGAGACTCGAATATAAAGAAATGAGATGCGCTAGTGGTATCTCCAAGGGAAAAGAAGAAAAGTTTTGAGGAGACTGAAGATACGAAGAACTGAACCCCTGGTCTTATAAGAATCTGGGGCAACGTGGAGAAAGCCAGTCACTTGCAATCAAACCGGCTGGGCTGCTCAGCTCTGCTTCAATGAACCGAGGCTTATGCGCATTATTGTTGTTCCGCGGAGGCGGGTCACGGGATGTCGGTCCACGAGACAGCAGTTTCATGTGAAAAAGCAATGCACTAAGAATGGCTGCTGGGTAATGAGTTGCATGTGCTGCATTTTAGGGAGGTATGCGTAGTGGTACGTCATGCGATCAGCAGGACCAAAGATGAAGATAGATATTACCTATGGTCTGGTGGTGTCCTGCATTGATTAGTGATCTTGGTGCAGTTGTACTAGTGTCACATGCCTATACAATTGCTTTGTTTCAAAATATATATCAAGTTTTACCCTAGTATCCTTACATTCCCAACAATCACCTCTACCACAGTATATGCAATGTAACAAACCGAATAACAGATAATATCTAATCAATAACCAACCTAGAAAATCCCTATACTACTAAGTAATACCATCTACTACGTAGTAAATAGTATGAAAGTCCACCACACGAACCAATCACC